TAAAATGACAGTCCCTAAGGGAAAGCATCAAAAGCCGTAAATATCACTGACGACACACATCCTTGTCTATGTTCCAGTACTGGGACTAAGTACGTACATGCCATACTGCCTCAACCTAGTTTGTTCCAGTATTTCATGGTATGTGCTGAAATAGCTCAAGAAAGAAAACAATGTTTTTCATACCCTCAAGTAGTTGCTCACAAAGGGGGGAACCAGAATGTCTTCCTCCTTTTGTCATTTTAGCAGATTATTTCAACTGGTGAAAAAATAAGCTATATCCATGTCAATTAAACTGAAAATATCTGAAACACATTTTTCTCTCCAAATAACACACTTGTAAACAAAGATGTGGAATTACAGTTCAGTTCACCTTTCAAGAGATTCTAACATTGTGTATGTTACCTATCGTTGTGTCTTCTCCACAAATTTTATAATCCATATTCTTTTCTTAACCCCAGACTGAAATTAGGTATTGTAATACTTGTTATAAAAATGCTTCGCTAACATTCATTAGATCAGCAAAGATGGGAAAAATTTACATATTATTGCATATTATCAAGACTTCAACAAAACAAAACAAAACAAAACAAAACTGAGTTATCATAGAATTCTGAAGTCAGGGATGTATCTTAGATTTCAACCAGTTCAACTCACCCCCGGATATTTCAGGGCAGAGTGGGAACCCCAAAGGACAAATCATGATTCCCAGGCCAGAGTTCCTTTTGCTGCATCTTTATCACCTTAACTTAAAACATACACAGCCCTAACTGCCCCTTCCCCCGATGACATTAGTAATTGTGAATTACAGAGTCTCCAACTTTCAGGAAACATTAAAAGTCTGTAAGACCAAACTGCTATCCATTAAAGGTTATCAAATCATTAGCCTTTGCTTAAAAATAAACTAGACTTCTAATTAAATATATCACTATTCTTTATGAAGAAAAATTCAATCCTCTTAATGTTTGAAGGTCTAAACTCATTGTTTCAAATAAGAGTGACCATGCATTAAAAAGATCTCAAGATCAAATTTTTTAAAACGCAGCTAATAAGAGAAAATAGCATAAAGTTTGAGGCAAGATTTTAAATGTCTTTAATACAGAATGACTGAACCAAGCTATCAGAAACGTATCAAGCACCAAACTTAGACATACAGTCACATAAATGTACTGTACTGTACATAAATGTTAATGAAAAAAAGTAAGTCATGCTCAAAAGTTCACAATGAAATCATAAACATGGTGAACGTAAAGAATACTGTGAATTCCTGAGAACCAAAAATTAAGATTACTCTCAATTATTTACAATATATTAGTAAAGAAATGTTTCTCTTCAATTGGCAGAACACAATTTTAAGAGCAACCTTCAGGGAAACATGCTCCAGGGGCTTAAGCACATCCTGGCTTACCCTATGTGAAAACAGCACAGTATAATCAAAAGGAAAAAAGAACAGGATGATGAGACCATATTTCTCCTGGCTCTTCATCATATTCTCCATATTCTAGTGGATGTGAAGAACTTATCAGATTGCCAGTGAGCCAGCTGCCAGTGAGCTAGAAGTCTAAAAGATAAATGTGGTCCAAAGAATCCCTCTTATCTACTTGCCTCAAAATGTGAAAAACTTTAATCTTTTTATAATAACCCGAAAAGGCTGTTCGTGTCTGAATCATTATGTAATGACACCAACACTCTGTCATATCGAATGTAGAAATAGCAAAAGCTCTGTAATTCATCAGAAAAAAGAAACCTAAAAATAGACTCCAATTGATTACATTATTTATAAAGGTGAAACTTTCTTAGATACTGATAATTATTTTTAAAGATAGCAGCCATGCAGGGCCAATTGCTCAGAGTGCTTCCTAATGAAGCACTGGCTCTTGTGATCTATGTCTTCCTCAAATTCTAGAAAATTCTCTGCACTTTTGTCTTGAATATTACCTTTTTCTCATTCTCTTTTTGCTCCTAGAATTCTTGCTACTGGATTACTGGATGATTTTCATCTGATTCCCCATGTCTCAACTTCTTGTTCATATTGTCTACTGCTTTCTCTAGGCTGCATGCAAACTAAGTTGCATGCAACTTCTGTTCACTAATTCTTTGCTCAAACTTTAATCCAACCTTGAGTTGTTCGTTTTCTAGTTTTAAAGGCAGTATTTTTTCATTCTTAGAAGTTCTGTTTGTCCTTTTCAAATCTGCCTAGACTCTCTGGAGAATATCTATCTCTTTTCAGATTTTCCATTCCTTGTCTTACATGTTTAGTCATTTTAAACATATATTTTCATGATTCTAATAATTCCAATTAACTGAAGTTCTAGTAGGTTTAGTCTTGCTGCTTGTTATATGGTTCATGACTTTTGCTCCTAAAAGACTGCTTCCGTGTATGTTATTAAATTTGATATTGTGAACTCTTTGTAAGTGGGACTTTATCTGGGAATCTTGTATGGCTTGGACTGGAGGCTGTGTCCTTCCATAATAATGGCCTTTGCCAGGTAACACAGGAAGATTATCAGCCCAGAACCACTTTACCTCTGCTGTGGGTTCCCAGAAAATGCAAGTATTCTAAATGTGAACCTGAAAGCCTCATGAGGACAGGCCTATGAGAGCAAATTTTCTAGGAAGTAGGCATTCTTATTCCATACATATCCTAAATCAAACAAATGAATCTGCTTGTTATCATATGGCATTAAATTCCATCCATATGCTGATGACTCTCAAATTTCTATCTACGAGTCAGACTTCACTCATGAACTTCAAATCCAAAACCAATTGTCTATTCAACACCTTCACTTCAATGTCTAATAAACATCTCAAATTTACCACATCCAAGCCTAAACCTAATTCTTTTTATCGCCCCCCCCCCCCAAAAAAAAATCCTGGTCCTAATTTCATTTATTCTTCTTTTATCTCAGGCCCAGTGGAGCACATGGCTCCAACTCCCACTCATCACTGTGGATGCTACTAGCATTTGATGATTCCCCTTTTTTTGTATTTAAGCATTACTTACTATTAAGAAATTTGTTTTATAATTTTCTATCCAGTAGTGAGCAGAAGCCTTACCTCATTACTTCGATGGTCATACTGACCCAAAGTCCTCAGGGAATTGTGAATGAGCAAAAGGGACTACTTAAATCATCTATAGTTTGCTCTTGATATCAGAGTGCCATTAGGGCCTGCTCCATTCAGTGTAATCTAACAAGACTCAAGAAAGCACACAGAAATCACCCCCTATAAAATAATCATGAGTGTGGATACACCTTGGCTTTAGGATAAGGACCCTTACAGACTGATAAGCTAACAAATGGTATTCGAGATCCTTCCTATAATCTATCTGACTTCACACACATACTATGTCTTAATCCAGCCCGAACTACCTATTGCCAAAATATATGTCATAACATCTCACTTTCAAGATTTTGCCAAAGTGTTTACATTACTCAAGGTGTCTTTTCTCACTTTTTAAAAAACAAATAAACAAACAAACAAAATCCATGTATTCTACAAGGACCAGGTCAAATAGTATCTCATCCGTCACATTTCTTGCTTTTGGCTTACTCTTCCCTTGCCAACATATTTACTGATCAACCACTTATGTTGCCAGGTGTGTTCCAATTACTATGCTAGTCATAAAAGAGAAAGACATACCAAGCTATATTCCCTGAGGAACAAAATTAAGTAATGCTTCCAACCAGACGTGATACCTTGCACAGCAAGAGTCAGTCATAGTCATCTGGATAGCCTCATTGTATCATACTCCTAACCTCCATGCTGGTCTAATCCATGGTCCCAAGCTCCTGCTGTGAGGTCCATTTTGTAATCTATCTTGCTTCCTTTCCTAGCATCCCAGTCTCCCTCAAAGAACTGAGGCCTTCTCCTAAACTCTCAAGTTCATTTAGCTACAGTTCAGAAGTAAATATCTGTAGTCTTCTTCCCAGTCCCTATGCTTGTCATCACTGGGAAAAGTGATACCATGAATGGCTCTCTCTCCTGGAATCACAGCGTAACTGTTAGACTGAATTCTTGCCCACTACCTAAACTCATTCAATGTTATTTTACAAAGCAATGGACTGGACCACTCAATAGCAGCGTTTGTCTGGATGTGACCTCTGTGTCTGGTGAGTCACATACAAGTCCTTACTAGGCCTACTCTCTGGAATCAGACATGCATCCTAAGCCATGTCATCCATAGGCTCCCCTCATTCTGTTTTTAACACCTGGTTCACCACTTCTTAAGCTGAAGCATAATAATGACTACAGGGAACCATCTGCTCCATTTTTCTGTATATCTAACAATCTCTAACAGGGACTAGAGATTCATCCTCTTTCTTCCACAAAAGTTTAACATGTTACACAATGAGTAAAGCACAGGGAAAGATGGTTGTATCGAGTGCCGAAAAAGCTACCCCCAGTCAATACCTGCATGGGAGAAGGTTACTCTGACACATTTGGCAATGACCAGAGGCGGGGAAAAAAGGGAAAAAAGCAGCCACGAGAAATATAAAGCCCCCTTCTTCAGATGCCTTCACATGAATTGTTCCTCTGCCCCTCTGTATGATAGAAATATAATACATTTCACTATCGAGTTGTGCTAGAATCCTTGTCTACTGCTCTTCTTTTGAGAGTTTTATTATGCTTACTTATTTGTTCTTGTCAATAAAATTTATAATCAACTTGCTTTGCTTCAGGAAACACACACATATATATAGATAGCATCATCATAAAGCCACAGTGAACTTAAGGGGATCAACAAGTTTATGATGTTGAAACTAAAAGCTAAGTATAAAAACTTAAAACAAATGTCTCAAAATATTTTACCATTCTCTGCTTGTGAAAAGACAGAGGCTAAACCCAGAAAACCTTTGCTACACTATGTATTACCATGGGGAAAGTTTATTTAAACAAACTTAGTGGAGGATATGATTTATATCGTGTTGTGCAATACACCTGATTGGAAAAGAATCCAAAACTATGAAATAACACAAGGTGTTAGTAATGTACCCACTCACCTTCCTTTTTCAGCCATTTTACAATGTTTCCTTCTTCCATCGTAGGAGATAGCGATGGCATCAGTATCTTAATGGGATCAGCTGAAAATGAAGAAAAGTAAGATTAGCCACAAAAAAAGAATGTACCTCATGAGGCATCAATAAAAAGTTCAAATACATTAACATCAAATTCAGTTTGAGAAAGAAAATATTTCAAAATCTAAAAGACTCAAGTGGTCAAACTAAGCATCCAGTAAATAATAAGGAAATGTAAAATTCTCATTTTTTAAAAAATTAAAACTCTTTTTGGAATACTTTCAATTTCTTTTTCATAGTTCCCCAATCCTCTACATGTATTTTCAAGCCAGATGCTTGTAAGATTTAAAAAAAAAAAATTGATTTATGTTTTACCTCCTTCTTCTTCACAGTTGTCACTGCAAAAAAATATTTACAAGGAACAAAGGAAAAGACAAATAAGAAAAAAAGAAAAACAACTAGGGTTCTGATAACCTACAACAAAGTAATCAAGATTAGACTTTAAGAAATTTATTGTATCTTTTATTTTCCTCTACTATTACACTATCCAAGTAGCAAAGGTTCTTGCCATAAGTGTGAAAGATTTGCCTTGTTGAACAGGAGCAGGCCAGCAAACCTGCATGGTTAAATTAATCTCAGACTGTGTTCCATACAACATTTCAACTGGAATCCAAAAAGGTAGACTCAAACCAGGGTGACCCCTCAGTGAAACACAGCTACTTTCTCCTTAGATATCAAAAAAAAGCACACTCTAGATATTTGTCCAGATGTGCTTTCCCAACAGGTCCAGTGTCCAGGACCATACTCCAAGAGCACATAACTGGTATAACTCATAACTCATATAACACTTAAACTAATAAAGCAGTTAATAGCATATACCAGCTCCTTGCAGTAGTCACAGTAAAAAATTACAGTCCCTGAAACCTTCCACAGAACCTATTTATTCTCTCCTCAGATTATTCAACTCTCTGACCCCAAAAAAGCAAAACACTATATTACATCTAATATATTTCAAATGTGCAAGAGCACAGGATAGGGGTTCTTTTTTTTTCCCACTGACATTTTAGGGTTAAAAGCAAGGGAACTGACCACTAATGTTAGAGGAGGTTCAATATTTCCTTTGGGAAACTAAACTAATTTACAGTAACTTCAAGCAGAGAGTTCCTATGGCTTCATGGTAAAAGGAGTTCCATCTCCGAAACATTTGGAGAAAAGCTTCTATCCTCTCTCCACCACACACACAAACCTGCTTCAGTCTCCTTCTCATTTTCTCTTAAGAACTGCCTGCCTTGGGGTGCCTGGGCAGCTCAGTCGGTTAAGTGTCTGCCTTCAGCTCAGGTCATGATCCCAGGGTCCTGGGAATCCCTGCTCAGCAGGGAGTCTGCTTCTCCCTCTGCCTCTGACCCCCACCACCACACACATGCTCTTTCTCTAGCTTGCTCTCTCTCGTCAAGTAAATAAATACAATCTTTAAAAAAAAAAAAAATTGCCCCCCTTAAGGAACTTGCACTTTCCTTTCAGCTCTTCCATGCCCAAGGCATAAGTGGACCTGCCTTTCAAAGGCAGACAACAGGCCTACCTCTGTTCCTGCCATCAGGGCCCACTCGGTGTGAGGAAGCAATTCAGATATGTGTGTTTGCTTTCTATACATAAACTCTCCTCAACAGCAGCTCAAACACTAAAAATGGGATTATACTGGGAAGCCCAACTGTAAAAGGCCACAGATCTACGTCACATCATCTAATCCAACAAAACCATCACACTGAACTGTGACTTTGAGCTCCATCTGACTTTTCTGCCTCTCTCTCAATGAATATCAAACTCTAAGGACAGAAAAGTAGAATTATCACTCCTAATACCCCAAAATCGGTGGAGCCCAAACCAAATTCTAAGTCAACACACCTATTTCGTCAATGAGACAAGTACAAGCCACCAATTAAGGGCTTTGAATTCTTCTTGCCTAGCTCTCAAAGCTATACTCTACACACTGCACTACTTCTCACCATTAATTTATGATCCTTACAAATATGGACCCTTACAAATATGGATCATCAATTAATCACTAGTTATTCATAGTCAACACACCCAGAAATTCAAACACAGCAAATCCAGTATCTCAAGTCCATCTGAACATACCTTCAGTCAAATGTCCCAACAAACACTTTCCCTATCTTGGGCTCACAAAAATTCTTGTATTAAGAAACCACTTTTACTACTGACAATGAATATTTTGTATGTAGAAGAAAGCAGGTACTCATTAGGTGCATCGTATCTTGAAAGTAAGGGAGGAAAAACAGCCACAGTGACTTTCCTAATTCCTGATAAATCTTTAATTATTATCTATTAATAATTAATGTATTATCAATAAGCCATACTTATTATTAAAATCTGATTTATTGTTAAAACACGGTTATCACAGAAGAGACTGGTGAACATGGGCCATCAACTCCTGTGTTTTATGTCCCTCAAAAACTTTCTCAGGGGACACCTGGGTGGCTCAGGGGTTGAGTGCCTGCCTTTGGCTCAGGGCGTGATCCTGGAGACCCAGGATCAAGTCCCACATCGGGCTCCCTGCATGGGGCCTGCTTCTCCCTCTGCCTGTGTCTCTGCCTCTCTCTCTCTGTGTGTCTCTCATGAATAAATAAATAAAATCTTAAAAAAAAAAAAAAAAACTTCCTCAGGACGCCTGGGTGGCTCAGCGGTTGAGCGTCTTGCCTTCAGCTCAGGGAGTGATCCTGGGATCCTAGGATCGAGACCCACATTGGGCTCCCTGCGAGAAGCCTGCTTCTCTCTAGTCTCTCATGAATAAATAAAATCTTAAAAAAAAAAAAAAAAAACACTTTCTCAACAGTTTCATTTAATTTCCCAGCTACACCTAGTTGAAATTCAAACCATGACTGTAGTATGGCTTAAAAACATCTTCGCATTTTTTTTCTTCAGTAAAATAAGTCCTCATGGACTAATAAATCCTGAATGAGTAGAAAAGAATGCAAACTACTATGCAAGACCTTGGTGCAGTGCCATCCATAGTGCAAGATTCCTAAGTGAATTAGAATTCAGGGATGTGCATTTTAGGAAAACACAACACACACAGGCAAACTTAACATTAGTGATGCATCTCCAAATCTGAACCATAACAAGCCTTTGCTTAATTACAAGAATTCTTAAGAAGTTCTCAAAGCCTGATAAACTAACCCCACTTAGAAATAATAAAATGAGCTTTCTTGGGATCCCTGGGTGGCGCAGCAGTTTGGCGCCTGCATTTGGCCCAGGGCGCGATCTGGAGACTCCGGATTGAATCCCACGCCGGGCTCCCGGTGCATGGAGCCTGCTTCTCCCTCTGCCTATATCTCTGCCTCTCTCTCTCTCTGTGTGTGTGTGTGACTATCATAAAATAAATAAAAATTAAAAAAAAAACAATACTCAGTATTAAAAAAAAATGAGCTTTCTTATCCCCTACATTATATGCCTCTTTCATTTTCTCATGGCTTGATGTAGAAAATAAAAACATTTACCTTCAAAATGTTTAGCAAGTCCAAGCCTCCACACTTAATTTTTTTAAGCTCATAGTGACAAATGGGGTTGAAAAAAAAAGCAAACAAAAAAATCACCTTCTTCTAGCACCATGATAAGAAGTCAACCTTTTCTTGAAAAACACAGCTTCAAAAAAGGCCCACTATATTCTTTCCATCAAAAAGTTCAAGGCTGGTGTTATGAGATAGAATATTTCACAATCACACACATATGAAATTTATATCAAATAGAGTTCTACTTTAAAGCAACAAAATAAATGAACTTCAATGATTCTATGTCCAGATTCCAATCTATGACAAACACTAAATCAAGTCTTTGAAAACAAAATCTCGTTTCAGTATTTTTATACCTTGGCTCCAGTTGCCATGATACAATTCATATTTATTTTATGATTCTATCTCTATTATAGTCTCTCACCTCTGAGACCTTCACTTTTCCATTATTCCTGACATTAAGGACTACATTATGAAACTTCTGTATTTATTAAGGATTATTTTCCAAATTACCACATCAAGAACTCAAAAATTTTCATATTTTAAAAATAAAAAGAACATAATCATTCCTCATACAGCCACCCTTCAAGGATGAACTGAAATTGCTTCTCTGAATAATGACAATAAAATATAAAAATTCTGTAATAGATCACTATCCTTACTCTGAAATGAAGGTGACAAAAACCAAAGAAAGACATTTTGGACATCTCTCTAATTTGGTACTATCTCTTGACTGATTACACTAGCTTACTACAGAAAGTAAAATGTGCAATGTAGTTTCTGATTAATCTAAACAATCTACCCTCAGATTTTCATGCCAGAAAACCACTTCAAAACATAAACATTAGTTTACTAATAATGGTACATGTTGCATTCTAGTATATTCTCTTTTGCCTGGAAGAGTATACATATATTTTCCAAATAGATTTTTCTAGTGGGAAAGTAAGCATGCAATCAAATCAGCTTTGAGTGACAGGCTGAACAAAATTAATATCTCCCCTTTATAGCTGTTGTCAATTCTTTTCAGATAGTATGGGCTTTTTTCTAGACTTCTTGGAACTTTGGCCTACACTTGGTATTTTTAATTTCGTTAGAAATTAAATATAACTTCCCTTTTCATTCCAGTAAGTAGTGCATCCTACTATCTTCCTCCTGTCAAACTGAGGCAGCCTTGAAATGAGCACCAATTATATTTCCTACTAATAACTGAGGACAACTATGAATAAGAATAAAGGAAACGTGCTTTATTCTTCACGAATCATACCAGTTATACTCAATTAATACTCAAAAATACAGTCCAATTTTAGTGAGAATTTACCTCTTTGGTAATCATTTTAATGTTAGCCTTTTATTCCTTTCTATCAAACTAACAAATTCATAGCTAATGGCTTACAAAGTCTGTCATTCTGTAGTTAAAAATGTGTTTTAAAAATTTTAAGATGACTACAGCAATGTACATTTCCAGTTTATATTTAAAACAATGATTTTTAAAAGTAGAGAGAGTCTCAAAAGTCACTAAAACTGTCCTAATCTTTTTCGTTCTTCAACAGAATGACACAATAAATTAACATTTTTTGCTTCGTGTATTGCTGCTCTCCTTGTCCTATCACGCACACAAGCAATCAACCAGTCATTGAGTTTTCTAAGTTTCTCAAAGCAATTTCTACATTTCTCCAAATCTGCTCTTTTAATCTTTCTGCAGAATAATTCTGTCTTCAACTTCAAATATATTAATCTAATTCTACTTCTTGTCCCCTAAAGAACTTCTTTTATCCTATGAACAAAACACTCATACTTCAGTAAAATCAATTATACCAAAGCTTTAAAATGATGATCTATACATCAATTCTAAAAGATCTCCAGATTAAAAAAAAAAAAAATCAACATAAGCAAACTCTTAAAATACAAAAGCAGAACAGAATGCTTTATGGTTAATATGAAGCAGATCTAGTTCTATCACTGTGACTAAAATAAAGGAAATTCATCAGTTTACATGTGACACCGCTTGAAGCATCAGGCTCTCTAGTCCATTTATGCGACTATTACCCAAATACACAAAAAACTCTGGACCAAGTGAAGAAGTAAATTATACAATATTTTCTTAGTGTGCCTCTCTATTCTTCACATTAATTTGCTTCTTCACTAATAAGGAGAGATGCTACTCATTCAGTCACCTTTCTTTCCAATGCAAGAACTCATTAAATATAATTAATCTTTAAAATATCTGTCAAAAATAAAACAATCCTGCCATCTGCAGGCTGGAGGAAATAAAGCACAATGAAGTACAAGTAATTTAAAAATCATCACCAGGGCCCAAAAATAGTATTAACACTGATCTTTGAATAAAGGTGGCTAAAGCAAATTTTTTAAAAAATGAGTGCTTGTCACATGTCTTCTTTATTCAAACAGTGATTTTGGTGTAGTACCAGCATAAGAATAAATTAAAATGTCAAAGGACTGCAGAAAATACATGCCTAATAATAGTTTGTAAAAATAGCATTTACAGCTCCTACCATGGTAAAACGTAGCCCACAAACAGTATATATGGCATAATCCATTTCCTACCTGCTTAGCTTGTACACACACAAAGACTGAAAGGATATACTCCAAAATGGCAAAAGTGGTTCTCTGGTTGGCGATATTATATAAGTGCTTTTTATTTCTTTTATTTCTTACAATGTACATTGTAACAAAAAGTCAGTCAGTCTCAAAACATTAGCTATTTGTTACTGACAGGTGGCACAAAAAAGGTGAAGCGGGTGGACTCTGCAGACACCCAGAGTTGGCTAGATGGATCATAATATCCCGCTTTACAACTCCTTCCTCAAGTAATGGAAGACTGAATCAGTTCCCTTTCAAATCCCCCGCCTAAAGGTGAAGGTTTCCTTTCTACTCTACTCTCTCCTTTACCTAATCCCGCCTCATTCTCACAGCGGCTCTAAGTCTTGATCTGCTTTAACTGTAGTACACATCTGAAAGCCAAACTCTCATTAAAATCATCAGCAAATGTTGTACCTTCAGTGGTGCTGTCAGAACATTCTCTACCAAAGCTGAGGAGCCAATTAGGTCTGAGTTCCTGTTATCCTAGCCCCAGACCAATAGGAGGCCGGAATCTTGACCTCAAAAGGATTATGGTTTAAAGGGTCAGTCAAGATATACACACATGTACTAGAGGGTAGTAGATAGAAATGCCCTAGGAACACTGCAGAGGATTGAGAGCTGAATACTAGCTGATCAAGAAAGGAAAAAAAAAATCTGTGCTAGTACCACTTCATACACATTAGAAGGGCTATCATCAAAAAAACAGAAAACAAGTGTTGGCAAGATGTGGAGAAATTAGAAACCTTGCACGTTGTTGGTGGGGAAAGTGAAATGGTACAGCTGCTATGGAGAACAGTGATTCCTCCGTGAATGAAACATGCCATTACCATTTTATCTAGGCCTCCCATGTCTGGGTATATACCCAAAAGAACTGAAAGCAGGAACTTGAACAGATATTTGTACACCCATGTTCACAGAGGCATTATTTGTCACAGCCAAAAGGTAGAAGCAACCCAAATGTCCAACAACAGATGAATGGATAAACAAAATGTGGTAGATACATTCAATGAAACATGATTCCACCTTAAAAAGGAATGAAATTCAAATACCTGCAACAAAACGGATGAACCCTAGTGAAATAAGCTAAACAGAAGAAGACCAATGTTACAGGATTCTACCCATAGGAAGTACTCAGGATATGCAAGTTCCATAGTGACAGAAAGTAGAATGGTGGTCACCTGGGGCTGGGGAGAGAGGGGGAAAGGGGATGTATTAGGGGATACGGAGTTTCAGTTTGGGTGGTGAAAAAGCTCTACAGGTAGATAGATGGTGATGATGGTTGCACAGCAATGTAAATGTATTTAATGCTATGGAACTGAATGTATAAAAATAATTAAAATCATGAATTTTATGTATATTTTGCCACAATAATTTTAAAAATTTGTGTTAGGCAAAGAGAACAAGGTGAGGGAATGAGCAGATATTCCAGATGAGGGGAACATCATTTGCAAAGAAGGTAAGAATTATAGTTCAGCTTAGCTGGAGAGTAAAATATAATGAAAATGAAAAAGTGAGCAGGTAAATTAAAAAATATGTTGGGACTACTACCTTATAGTAGTCTATAGTACCTTACGGTACTGTCGTAACTTAACCTTAATACCTCATTAATGGGTTGATGCTGTTTAAACAGCAATGGAAAGCCACAAAATTTTTTTGAGCAAGAGAAGTAACCAAAATTAAAAACAAAACTTGCTTGCATTTCTATATAAACAGCTAATGTTCACAAATCTATAATTTACAGGAAAAAAGCACATGCTTTGAGACAGTCGCAACTATAAGCTTCACAGAAGAATTGAAATAAAGGCTTTTAAGTACAAAGTGAAGCTACCCATGACTTTGTTACCTATTCTTCTCTATCCACTTAGACTATTTGATTTGAGAGATTGAAAAGGCACCTAGGATCTTCCATTAGATCTTCCAAATGTTAGGCTTTACTTCTAGCAGTGGTAGAGAGAAATGAGAGACATTTCTGGAAGATCAATTTCATGACACAGGAGTGAAGTAGAGAAGGAGAAAGACAAGGAGATCGGTTTGTTCATTTATTCAACAAATATTTATTCAGCGCCTACCAGGTGTTGGGTGTTCTTCCAGAGGTTGGAGATAGCAAAAGTGAATAAAAACAGGCAAAACCCCTACCTTCATGGAGTTGACATTCTAAGAGGGGAAACAGAAAATAAATATGACATGTCTGGCAGTAGTAAGGAATAAGAAAAGAAAGGCAGGTAAGGGGACGCAGTGATAGTGGAAGAACTATTTTATCAGTTAACCAGAGGAGGCCTCCTTTAATAAAGTGAGCAGAGCTGAATGGAGAATGCCATCCCAGGATCTGATAGAAAAGCTTTCTAAACAGAGGAAAAAAGCAAGCACAAAGAATGAGCAGAGTATGCCTGGTATGTCTGAAACACGGAGGAAGCCAGCATATGGGAGTGGAGTCAGCAAGTGAGGACAAGTGTTGTGAGGTCAGAGCTGAGGCTGGGGGAGTGGAGGGTTCCTGTCATATGGGGCCTTGTAAACTACAGTCAGGACTTCAGATCTCATTCTGAGTTTACGGAGAAGTCCTGGAGGGTTTTTAGCAGAGAACTGACATGATCTGATTTATAATTTAAAAAAGTACTCTGGATGGCTCAATTGGTTCAGTGTCCGACTCTTGATCGCAGCTCAGGTTTTGATCTCAGGGTGCTGAGTTCAAGCCTTGTGTTGGGCTCCACACTGGGCATGGATCCTACTTAAAAAAAAAAAAAAAAAAAAAGCAGCAGCAGCTCTCAAAGCTGTACGGGGAACAGTCTGTACTGGGAACAGTCTGTACTGGGCCAAGGGTGATGATGGTAGAGATCCCTAAGATCCGTACTGGGACACTCCTGCAATAATCTAGAGTAGAGGTTGTGGTAGCTTGGACCAGGCTAGTTGGTGAGGAGTGGTCACATTACATTTAAAAAGTAGAACCAACAGGAATTTCTGATAGACTGGATGCACCATATGAAAGTCAGGAGTCAGGGATGACTCTAATGAGCACACGTGAAATAACAAAAACCAAAATTAGATGCCACAGCTCCAAAAAGAAAATCTTTCTTCCTATCAAAAGTGCCCAAAGAGCCTTATAAACTATGTAGACTTGATTCTCAAATGCATACAGAAAAATCCCATTAAACACCAGGTCAGTTATATAGACCCTGTGCTTACTCTTGGGCACAGCACTACTAGCCTTGGGCCACAATCCAGGGAAACTACACTTGCTTCTTCCAAGAATAAAAATTATACTCGTTCTTTTCCCCCATCTCAGCATAAGAACCATCATATTTATAAACAATACAGTACTTGGTTGCTTCAGCACTCACCTGAAGTATAAAGTACAATGACTGAAAGGTGTGAGTCAGGAGGGTAAAGATCTCCCATTTGCCGTTCAAGAACTACTTGTCAGCTTTCCTGATACCACTGTGTGTACTTCATCAACAGGCTTGCTTGTGCTCAGGCTTCCACCTGGGTTTAGCCAATGGGCAGCATAAGCAGGAGATGGGAGAAAGGAGAGGGAGGTCAGGGAATTTATTTCCCCAGCTCACTCCCTATGGGGTCACCCTGGCTGTTGGATCCTTTAACTGAAGGATACCCCTCCACTACAGTTCCTGCCCACAGGCTCCATCCTTTCTAGCTCTGGCGACTTCTCCCTTCCCATGCCTCTTCATGCCTGGGAGTGGGGACAGCATCTTGCTCTAAATACCCCTTAGTACAGCATCATCTCTACAGCCTGAATTCACAGAAAGTTGTAAGTTCTCCCCAAATTACCCATTTTTAGACTGCCATCTATTCTCTGCCAGGACCCTACAAAAAGACTCAGAAGGGTAGCACTTAAGTAATAAGAAAAATTTCAAACCACAGGGGAGGTCAGTCCATTTGATGAAATAGTATAAATCCAGATTTTCAAATTACTGTCTTTATATAAACGTATTTTCTAGCCATTTGTTTATAATGGGAATCCCTACACAAAATCATACATTTCTTGTTCTCAGATATGGTAAATATCCTTGCAAAGAAGCACTATTTTCCACAGGGAATGACAGAATGTTTATGGAAATAGCCTGGAGACTAGGCAGTGTTTATAGATAAATTACAGGGAGACCCAGGAGTTTCCTGGAACTACATAGAAAATTTTGCATGTACACATTCTTCTCAGAAAGTGGTAGAGCTTTTATCAGTTTTCAAATAGATCTGTGCCCACCAAAAAACCAGCACTAGAGATTGCCAAAGAAGCTCTCCTGAATTATAAATATGCCAACGTGAATTCTTCCCTAAAATGTTTCATGTAATACAAGAAAGTCCTTGATTGCAGTAAAGTATTGAGCAGATCACTAGCTATAGTAAATGTACTGCCTACCAAGTACAAAGATAAAAATAAAATAAAATCACCATTCCTTCCATTTTGTTTAAGGAATTCGCTGATTCTTTCATACACTTAGTATCCAGTGGTGCATCTGGAAGGAGGCTGGCCAGAACTGTCGGTAGCCCATGGTGTAGAACTACTTCCTCTAAGTGTGAGAAACCAAACACGACAGAAGAGGTTTCAGCTTCCAATACCAGTCTTCTTGCTATTAAATTATAAAATTAAAATTCTACTTGAATCCATTTATTCTGCAATCTTGGAACAGTACAAAAAGAAATCACCATTCAAGAGTCTAGCAAAAAAAATAAAAAATGAACACATGCCTAAGTTTGGGGGTTTACACATTTTGCTGAAAAGGCAAATGAAATGAAGCTCAAGACAACAAGGCACACTTACGAATATAGGTGGCCCACAAACAACACATGTTTGAACTCTGCAGATCCACTTAATTGCAGGTTTTTAAAAAATAAGTATATTGGGAAATTTTTTGTAGATTTGCAACAATTTGAAAAAACTCAGAGACAAACCACATAGCCTAACCAAAAAATTTAAGAAAAAGTTAGGTATATAAGAATACAGTATATGATACACATAACATACAAAATATATCTTCATCAATTTTATGTTTTCAGTAAGGCTTCTGGTCAACAGTAGGCTACTGGTACTTAAGTTTTGGGGCAGCCAAAAATTATACACAGATCTACAGTAGAAAAGTATTCACGGTCAATGCCTCTAACCCCCATGTTGTTCCAAGGTCAACTGTATATCAATTAGAAACTTACAGATGGGAGGGCATTAACACATGCTCTAACTCTTTAAATGGTTCTGCCACCCTTTATACAAAGTTCAGAATTTAAACTGTTCTTAAAAACTTACGATTATCAGATTATCACAACTATCACTGAAATACTATTTCATAATGCATGTTACTAAAATATGTTTCACTTCATTAAAAAAAAAAAAAGCTGTTCACACAGAATATATACATGGTGAACAAAGCTTCACCATGCTGACACTGTTCTGCTGATGGCTATGGCTCAACCACCACAGACACTGAGGTAGACTGGGATTGAGGAAACAGGCTTCGGTGTCAGGCAGCACTGGGCTGAAATTGTTCTACGTTCTATCATCAGAGCACAGCTTTGGTGGCTGGGAGGACTAAACAAGCTGTCATGTAAAGTGCTGAGAAGGAAGGGTACAATGGTACATCCTTAGTGGTCAGTACCGTTTGTTACACTCAAATCCTCTCCCCCAACTTCTTTCTTGCTAGAAAAGATCAAATTTTATTCAGTGGTATACCTTTCTTGTGAACACGTGCTCTGAGTTAGTGACCCCATTGCCCAGTGTCTTAGTCCCTTCAGAATGCTGTAACAAAATACTTGGTGGCTTATAATTATACAACATTTATTTCTTACAGTTCTGGAGGCTGGGAAGTATAAGATCATGATGCTGGCAGATGTGGTGCGGTGGCTGATGAGGGTCCACTTCCTAATTCACAGATGGTGCTAAGTACAGGGCATAGGTCATTGCTTATGAAAATGCTGCCAATACACACCATTTAAGGAAACCAAAACTCCAAGGGTGACTCCCATGGGCAGACTTTAAGATCCTGGATGGATGGATGAAAGTAGAATTTTTTCAGTAAGTGCACTTAATTCATATAGTCTACAGATTACCAAATAGTTGCTTCATTTTATGAAACTACAATTTCTACCAAGCTCGGAGAAAAATGAGCCAACACCATGTAATTCATGCTTTGTACAACAAGTAGCTCAAGGACTGCCACATGTATTCAACATGGCAAAACAAAAACCTGTACATGAAAAGTCAGGAAACAAACTTGGATTCAGCATTAGGGAAAAAAACCCACAAAATGAAACAGGATGTCCAAACACCCAACAACAGCTACTGGGGTAGGCCAAATAATACCCTTGCGTCCCCCCTCAGCACCCCAAAGATGTCCCACATCCTAACATCCAGAACTTGTAAATATGTTATGTTACGTGGCAAGGGGTAATTAAGGTTGAAGAAGGAAATAGGTTGCTTAAAGAATAGGCGTTGAGATGGGGAAAAGAATCCTGGTGGGCCCAATGTAATCACCAGGATTCTTATACATGAGAGGAGGAACTAGGAAACTAAGACGGCTCCCCTGGGATAGTGTCCTCCCTCTATCAGATGACGTTCGGGTGGAGTTAGATATGCTGCTCGTGGTGTGCAGGAAAGGAGGTAAAATGTCATGATGCTTCAAATGAGGATTGCCTAAGTGAGTTTCCATTTTCCTTTAAACTGGTTCTAAAGAAAACCCCTGAAAACTGCATACACCTTTTTGTCTGTCCCTTTTTCTGTAGAGAAGGTCTAAGGCATTCAAAGATTCTCTAAAGAATCTATTTTACAAACAAGGTTAAGAACACTCTTGTTAATGCAAATTGGGGTAGCCACTCTGGGAAACAGTATGGAGATTCCTCAAAGAATTAAAAAAATAGAACTCCCCTGACTCAGCAATTGCACTACTATGTATTTACCCAAAGGATACAAAAATACAGATTTGAAGGGGCGCATGCATACTCATGTTTACAACAACAATAATCAACAATAGCCAAAGCATGGAAAGAGCCCAAATATCCACTGCCTGACAAATGGATAAAGATGTTTTTTATATATATGTATATATGTCATGGAATATTATTACTCAGCCATTAAAAAGAAATCTTGCCATTTGCAACTATGCGGGTGGAGCTAGAGTGTATTATGCTAAGTGAATTAAGTCAGTTCTATAAAGATAAATACCGTATGATTTCATTCATATGTGGAATTTAAGAATCAGAATGGATGAACACATTGGAAGGAAAAAAAAAAGAGAGGGAAACAAACGATAAGAGACTCTAGAGAACCAACTGAGGGTTGATGGAGGGAGGTGGGTGGACGATGGGGTCAATGGATGATGGGTATTAAGAAGGACACTTGTTATGCTGAGTGCTGGGTGCTATACGTAAATGACAATTCAATGAATTCTGCTCCTGAAACCAATATTACACTATAGGTTAACTATCTAGAATTTAAATAAAAATTTGAAGAAAAAAAAAAAAACTCTTCCTAAATTATTCCCAACACTGAGCTTTTACCATTTCATGATTTTCTAAGGTGGTGAGTCTCAAGGGGTAGCCCATCAGACACCAACACAAAAACATCAAGACTCTCCAAAGGTTGTTTGTAAAATGAAGACGGCTGAGCTCCACCCGGGACCGAGTATCTGGGAGCTGGAGGAAAGCTCAATATTTAATAAAATGGGGAAAGGCAGTAACAGGGAATTCTATACACGGTGAAAGTACTACCACTCCAAGAGGTATTTTTTAATGAAAAATTAAGCTGAAGAAACTGAAATAAATTGCTCCCATTACCAAATCTTAAAATCTCAGGGCACCCATCTCACCATGCGACTCTGTGTAACTGATATTTATCTATCCATCTATCTATCTATTTATCTATCTATCTATCTATCTATCTTCTGAGCCTCAGGTAGCTCAGGATATGTAAGGCATGCCTAGTGCACCTGATTTTTTTTATATATATATATATATTAAAACTCGTACTGCGGGGACGCCTGGGTGGCTCAGCAGTTAAAGTGTCTTGCCCTCAGCTCAGGGCGTGATCCCGGGGTCCCGGAATCGAGTCCTGCGTTGGGCTCCCTGCATGGAGCCTGCTTCTTCCTCTGCCTGTGTCTCTGCCTCTCTCTGGGTCTCTCATGAATAAATAAAATATTAAAAAAAAAAATTCGTATTGCGGAGTGCCAGGATGGTTGGCATGTAATACATCACACAGACACAAAAAATGTCAGCCATATCCCCTGCCCACACGTAAAAATAAAAATAAAAAAATGATGATGATGGCCTAATGATGATGATGATGACGCCCGGTATTCCATACTGTTAAATACTAAAAGGCTTCTGTTAATAGCGTTCGTGTCATTACTTAACGCCAATCTTCTATGATAACTTCCCCCTCCTAAATTTCCACTCTTTCAGGCGCACGCTTCTCCCTAAAGCATCCTTCCGCACCCCTGTCGGGTGACGCCGCGGGCACCTGCAAATTAAGTCGGCGGCGAGTGGTCGCCCGGGGCAACCCGAGGGGCCTGGAAGAAAAGACGTCCCCATGGAAACGGGCCCAGAGGACGGCGACGAGCGGCTCCCGGGGGCGTCCGAACCCCAGCAACCTCGGGCACCGGGACAGCTCTCGGGGGGGGGGGGCGGAGGCGAGGCTGGGAAGTGGCTCGAAAAGAAAGAAAAGCACACCTAGGAGCTCGTCTCCGCGCGGCGCAGGTCACCACACCCCGGGGCAAGGTCACCGAGAAGCCCTCCCGACCCGGGGCCCGGCGGCCCGGGGGCCCGGGGGCCGGGGGCGGACTCCGCTCCCCCCGCGGCCAAGTCCCGCGGACCCCGTCCCCGAGAAGAGGCCCCGGCATCACACACCCAGCTGGGCCCGGAACCGAAGAGCCCCCGACCCACAGGCCCGTTACTCCGCTGCCCCAGAAGCCGAGCGACCCCGACCACTCACCCCGCAGCCGCTGCGAGCTGTGAAGCCATCTCCAACTGGCCCCGCGGCCGAGAGGCCACCCAGAAGCGCCCCTCGCCAGCGCCAGTCTCCGGCATCCGCCGAAGCCCAGGAGGTAGCGCAGCCCCCGGGGGTCACAGCCCAGCCTCCAGGAGGCCGCCATCTTCCCGGCCGCGTCGCGGGCTGCCCGCCGCGGAGCCTGATCGCCCAGTCGTCAAGGCCCTCCGAGCCCCGCCCTCTGTCATGTTAGCCACGCCCCTAGGACACCGGCGGCGCCTGCAGAGGCGCGAGCCCTCCAGGCCCGCCCTCTGTCATGTTGGCCACGCCCCCGGGACGCCGGCGGGGCCTGCAGAGGCGCGAGGCCCTCCCAGGCCCCGCCCCCTGTCATGTTGGCCACGCCCCCCGGGCTCCGGCGGTGCCTGCACAGGCGCGAGGCCCTCCTCAGTCCCGCCCCCACCCTGGTTGGCCCCGCCCCCCGCCCGGATGTCCGGTCCGCGAGGCCCTCCGAGCCCCGCCTTCCGCCGTGTCTGCCCCGCCCCCGGGCTGCCCTCGGCGCCGCCTGATTGCCGTTGCGGCCTCCCCAGGACTGGACGGTCGGTCGCAGGTGG